TCACACTGGAGAGAAACCATTTACATGCACTCAGTGTGGGAAGACTTTCAACTACTCATCAACCCTTAATCAACACATGAGGATCCACACTGGAGAGAAACCATTCACATGCACTCAGTGTGGGAGGGGTTTCAGCCAAATGTCATCCCTTAGTAAACACAAAAATATCCACACTTGAGAGAAACCATTCACTTGCACTTAAGCTGCGGTCACACTGGACTTTTCTCCCCATAGACTTCCATACTTACGCGCGGATCGGAAATGCAAGTTCATGCCTTAAGTTTCGCAGTTCACTGTGTTGCAAAGTTCAAGCTTGGTGAACTGTCACCTGTGAAATTGCATCACTTGACGGTGACTTTCCAAGAACGCAGAGAACTGACTTGCGTTCTTGTGGAGAGCGGTCTTGCCAGGTGTCCTCGGAAGAACGAACTTGGGAGACCGCGAGGGCAGAGAACGCGTCCTCTGAGAAATGAGATGCTGCGTTCTTCCTGATGCTCACATGGCCTTCACATGTTTTTAATGGAAAATTATTTAAACATTACAGCATTCATACAACGATTCATTGTTTTTCCCCTTTTAAAAATTTATACAATGCTTAAAAGCTTTATCAATTTATGCTGCAAAGTGTAAATAAAACAGATTTTTGTACAAATTTCAGCAAACAAACACCCTTAATGTGTTTATTCCTTTATTAAGATGTTTATGGGGATGTTCATATTCACTGTTTCATTAAGGGAAACTCCTGAAGGGAATAAGGGATATCTCTGAACTTTAATAATAAATCTAAATAAAATGCTGCGCTTTCCACCTCCAGTCGCAAATGACTACTGGGACTTCTAGCGCGAGTTCGTTGCTCGATATCAAGAACACATACAGGAAGTTTCACGCGTCCTCTGTTCTTGCGTATTGGCGTAATGATCTTGAGTATTGGAACTGAACTTTGGCAGCTGATGATGACTTTATACAAGGACACAAGAGCGCTGAAGAACGCATATAGAGAAACAGCCAGCGTGAGACCAATCAAAGATCAAATATGACCTCTCTGGACAGAAATGTAAAATGTGGACTAATCGCTCACTTTTTAAAAATCTAATCTTCTTGTTTAATCCTGCCCCTTTTCGCAGCACTGTACAAACTCTAGTCTGACTGCAGCTTTGGTGTAGGAAGAGTTTCAACTGATCAGCAAACCCTTATGAACACATGAAGATCCACACTGGTGTGAGAGAGTATATGTGCTTTGAGTGTGAAAGCTCCAAAATTAAAACTGCACCAGACGGAGTGACTGTGCAAGTGTTCACACTGTGACAAGAGAGTTTGTACATCTGAAAACACATGAGAGGATTCACACTGGAGAGAAACCGTACAGATGTGATCAGTGTCTATAGTTTCGCTCAATTGGCACAGGTTAAGAAACACATGGACAAAAAGTTGCGCACGACATGAATGCAGCAAACATTTTTCCATGTGCAGAGGATGCTTCATGTCTGAATAATAATGATATTTGAAAAGGCTGAGTGACAGTATACTTTTTTGTTGTTGTTATGGATGATGTTCTCTGACTCCCTGAATGAGAAACAAATCACTGGGAAGACACCGCACATCAATAAAGGTGAATTTCCAGGACAGTTAGTTTGCCGTATACTAGGGCCTAAAGTTTAGAAAGCCCTTTCCTGTGTCCTGTGTTGCTTATTTTATTAGTAAAGTTTCTTTTAGATTGAAGATTCTTTCTAGTTTACTACATTTACTTTTGTGAGTAGAATACAAACTTGATGAGTATTTTATGATTTAGGCAGAGCGACAGGTATAAGTTTTACAATATTAATACACTGTGATGATCCCAAGACTCCAGATTGGAGCATGTGGTAGATCCTGATTGGATGCCTGCATTACTCACCAAAGGGTATATAAGAGTTGTTGTGCTACCCCAGGACACTGTGGCTACTCAGGAGTCCTCATGTCAAGACCTGCCATCTCACTGACTCTTTAACCTCATGGTTTTGTTTTGCATTACTTGTATCATGTAGTTAAAGTGTTGTTGTGATTATACCCTAAGTTCTTTATCTTCATTATTATCCCGAGACATCTGTTGGTTGCTTTGTTTGATTGTTCTATGATTTACATTTAACAATAAATAATTTGCATTCAGGCTGTTTTGTTGGTTGATTTCTCTGTTATGTTGCGACTCAAACAAGCGGGTCATAACACTTTGTAAAATGTGTCCGGTTGTATCCAAGATCTTGTCCTGTCAGTCATGACCATATGTTAGAGCAGTGGTTCTCAAAGTGGGGGTCGGGACCCCCCGAGGGGTCGCGGGGCAATGAAGGGGGGTCACCTGGTGATTTCCAAAAATCTATTTATTTTTATTAAACCATTAGAATTAACATATTTTATCCATAACTATACTTAAAATAAAAACAGTCGTTTATAGTTACTATATACTATATAGTTAATATAGTAGCTTATAGTTACTAGTTCTATTGGATTGCGACCCCTGGGGTAATTACATTATATTAAAGGCAGCAATAGCGTCAGTACATTTTGATTTTATAACATCAGGTTATACTTTCTGGCACATTTAAAGCACTGACACAAATTTAATTGGTGTGTCTGCGTCATTGCATGCAAGGTTTCTGTATTTATAACCACCTTAGAGGATATTGGGGGTCGCGAGTCACTGACATTGTTATTTTTGGGGGTCGCGGGCTGAAAAGTTTGGGAACCCCTGTGTTAGAGTAGGAACCTAGATAGAGCGTAAATTGAGAACTTTGGCTTTCATCTAGGCTCCTTCACCACAACAGACAATCACATCAACTGCATTACTGCTGCCGCCCTTTTTAAAGCACAATTGAGGGTGAGTTGGGAAGAAACCTGGAAGTATCAGTGTTTATCTGCTGCCATGAACTGAATCCTAGGAGGAAACTTAAGCGTATTACTCCTCAAGAGTTTGTGATTGTGTTTGATACCTAATATGTTTTAATGGTTTACATTAAACTAAACTGAATGATGTTAAAGTGATGTTTACACCATATCTGCATTTTGAAATCACGGTAACAGCTGGAGGTTTGTATACACACCATGTTGTTGCAAGGTGTACAGTGCTGATCCTATACTTTCATGTTTTTTCCCACCTCAGCCTAGCTTTCGTTTTTTTAAATGGTGGCCGCATGAAATAAGCATATTATCTTCCTAAGAACCAGATGCCATTATTCCCTCATGTATTCGTCCATTCAGAGATGCCTCCAGACATGAAGTATCACCAGAAAAGCACTGGCAATAATAATGAAGTGTCTGCTCCCTCTTTACATGTTCGGTCAGAAAGTCTGGTTGTCTTCCTAAGACATTCCTCTCAGACCTCCCTCACATAAATTGGGAATAAAATTCATTGGAACATTTCCCATTATCAAGGTGCTCAGTCCAGTGTTGTTTCAACTCAAATTAAGCTTTAATTTTAAAAACATTCATCCGTGTTTTTCAGGTGTCTAAGATCAAACCCATTCTTCTCTCCCCTCTGCAGCCTTTAACCTCTGCTCCTCTGCCTCTCAGACTGGTTGAGGGTGCTCAGTGCACTGGCTCCTGGATATGAGAAGGAGCGGTAGAGAGGTTATCAGTATTGGGTAGGCTGAAAGGGTTATGGTTCAGAAGAGAGATGTTGGATTCTGGCTCTGGATATAGTAGACCGCTGTCTCATTGATCAGTTTCATCAGGTCCATAGTGAGTTTTAAGGGAATGCCAGGGGGCGTTCTTGAGGGAGGGGGGGTACTGTCACCGTACCTCACGCTTTTGCTCTCCTCCTGTTCTTGGTTACAGATTACCTCTTGTCATCTGCTTTTATTTGCAGTCACAGGAGCTCTCATTTCCCTTTTTCCACTTATACCACATCATTTCCCTTCATGTTTGACAGTATGTTATTGATCGTTTGTGTGCATATTGCTTTATCACTTGTCCCTGTATTTGTGTCCAGGATTGCCAGTGAGTGACTGTCTGGTGGTTGTTGTTTTTTCCATAGCAGTTCCTCAGCGCTCACCCGACCTGGTGTTTACTTTGATTTTTACTTTTCCCAGGAATCACTCCTCAATAAAGACTTGTCATTTTTCTGCATTTGAGTTCACTCTTTTTTTTTTTTTTTACTCGTGACACTAGTATTTTCTTTCTCATTTGTGTTTAAATGTCTTTAGATTTTAGCATGATGTCTAGTTTTTTGAGGCTCTTTTGGTCTACTTCACTTTGTCAGACAGGTCCTATTTAGGTGATTTCTTGATTGGGAACAGGTGTGGCAGTAATCAGGTCTGGGTATGGCTAGAGAACTTGAAGTCAATGTGATAAATAAAAGTTATGTTTTAATGGGGAAAAACATTTTCACACTGGGCTATGTAGTTCAGTATTTTGTCTTCCTTTTAATAATAAAAACCTTCATTTAAAGACTGCACGATGTGTTTAATTGTGTTATAATATTTTAATTAGATGATCTAAAACCTTTAAGTGTTAGAATTCTGCATTGCATTTGTTATATGCAGATTACTAAACCAGAGAACATTTGTCATTTAAATGTGCAGATTTATGGCTTTATGCAGATGTGTCTGTGAGGCAAATATTCGCAGAGATTCAGCAGTTTTTTCTGACAGGTTTACCAGTCAGGCACAGAATGAGAAAGCATTCCTTATCTGCTTTACAAGTTTTACAAACACATGTTGTTTTGTTGTGATTGAGAATATATACAAATAAAAAAAACTGCCCATTTACAGCTTTTAAATATAAGTCTCATCAATATGACCAAAATGACTTGGGGTCAATCATATAAGAATCCAATTAAATGTGTATGTGTAATGGACCCCAGGAGGTTGATATGACAAGATTAATCTAAATATGATCAGCTATGTTTTTGCATTTAATGTGCATCAAAATTAAGGTTTGTGTAGCCAATGTTTAGTGCCTTTTCACTGCAGCTTTTGATGAGAGTTTCTATGACTTATTACAAACTGAATTTTTTTTTATAATTTCAGACCTAATTGAAGAGTGTGAGGAGAGTAAAGAAGAGGAACACCATGTCAAAATTGAGGACAAAACTCATTTACAGACTCATGGTATTTTCAAAAGGAGAGACAAGAGTGGTTTTACCTGCACCCAGTGTGGAAAGTGTTGGGCCAGCAGAAGGAAACTTAAGATTCACATGAGGATCCACACTGGAGAGAAACCATTCACCTGCACTCAGTGTGGGAAGAGTTTCAAACAATCATCAAACCTTAATCTGCACATGAGGATCCACACTGGAGAGAAACCATACACATGCACTCAGTGTGGAAAGAGTTTTAGCCAAGCGCCAACACTTTATACACACATGAGGATCCACACTGGAGAGAAACCATTCACATGCACTCAGTGTGGGAGGAGTTTTAGCCAATCACAAAATCTTCAAAAACACATGGTGATCCACACTGGAGAGAGACCATACACATGCATTCAGTGTGGGAAGAGTTTCAGCCAACCACCATCACTTTATACACACATGAGGATCCACACTGGAGAGAAACCATACACATGCACTCAGTGTGGGAAGAGTTTCAGCCAAACATCACACCTTATTAAACACATGAGGATCCACACTGGAGAGAAACCATTTCCATGCACTCAGTGTGGGAAGAGTTTTAGCCAATCACCATCACTTTATGCACACATGAGGATCCACACTGGCGAGAAGCCATTCACTTGCACTCAGTGTGGGAAGAGATTCAGCCAATCATCACACCTTATTAAACACATGAGGATCCACACTGGAGAAAAACCATTTCCATGCACTCGGTGTGGGAAGAGTTTCAGTCGATCATCACACCTTAATGACCACATGAAGATCCACACTGGTGTAAAAGAGTATATGTGCTTTGAGTGTGACAAGACTTTTATTAAAGCTGGAGAATTGAAACAGCACCAGAGGGTTCACACTGGAGAAAAACCGTACGAGTGTTCACACTGCAATAAGAGATTTGGTGGTTTAGGAACCCTGAAAAAACATGAGAGGATCCACACTGGAGAGAAACCGTACGAATGTTCACTCTGCAATAAGAGATTTAATTGCACAGGAACCCTGAAAAAACATGTGAGGACTCACACTGGAGAGAAACCGTACGAGTGTTCACACTGCAATAAGAGATTTAGTTGCTCAGGAACCCTGACAAAACATGAGAGAATTCACACTCGAGAGAAACAATAGACATGATCAGAATCTTTAGAGCAGGGGTCACCAATCTCGGTCCTGAAGGGCCGGTGTCCCTGCAGGGTTTAGCTCCAACTTGCCTCAACACACCTGCCTGGATGATTCAAGTATACGTAGTAAGAGCTTGATTAGCTTGTTCAGGTGTCTTTGATTAGGGTTGGAGCTAAAACCTGCAGGACACCAGCCCTCCAGAAACAAGTTTGGTGACCCCTGCTTTAGAGTTTCACTCATTCGGCAGAGCTTAAGAAATACGTAGGCTGCACCTGAAACCGCCTACTAGTCAGTAGGTAGTGACTGAATTTAAATGTACTACTCGGCTGTTAAAAAGTACGTTCTATACAGTATTAATGGAATTGTGGTGTACTACATCCGCCATTTTTGTTATGATCATGTGACTTACCCGTGTGAGTTGCGTCACTTCACTCCCATTCATGAATTATCTTACAGGGCATCATGGGAAAGCGTAGTGTCCATTCGTTGCCAACTTCTAAATCTCGCCTAAGTAGGCCATCCGGCTACTTCTCGCATAATGATTTTAAACTTCTATTAATTTGGATATACTACTCGGCTCGCATACTGATTGTAGTGTACTATATAGTATGGAATTATGCAATTCCAGGCGCAGCCATAGACAGAAAGCTGCACACACAACATAAATGCAGCAAAACATTTACACTTATTCAAAGGATGTTTCATGTTTGAAGAATGTTTGAGAAGGTTGACTGACGGTAAACTGTTTTCCAATACTCCAACACTACACTGCAGTGGGTGAGGTTGTAAATGTGTTTAGGTTTGGTGTGTGCCCCCCTCCGAGTCTTTAAAGTCTCTCTGTAAGTGATCGTACAGGTGCGGATATATCTGTACAGCTCTGCTGCTCCACTCTCCAGTGTGTTCATGTGGCTAGTGTTGTTGTTTTAGATGATGTTCTGGATGGACAGTTCTTTTGCGGTATACCAGGGCCTGAAGTTCGGAAAGCCCATTCATTTGTCTAGTCTTGCTTCTTTTATTAATAAAGTTTCTTTACTTTCAAGAGTCAAGATCCTTTCGAGTTTACTACATTTCCTAATTGGATGCCTGCATTACTCATCAATGGCTTCAATGAGTACCTAAGAGTTGTTGTGCTAGCTACCCCAGAATACTTCATTCCTTATTTTCCTTAATATGCCTAGACATGTGTTGGTTGCTTTGACTGATTGTTGAGCAGGTCCATAACTACACTATTTGTAAAATGTTTCCAGTTGTATCTGAGATCTTGTCCTTTTGGTCATGACCATAGGTAAGAGTAGGAACGTAGATTGACCTGTAAATACAGAGCTTTGTCTTCTGGCTCTGGTTTGCTGCCGAGTGTGATGCGGCCGGTATAAGAACCAGCACCTCCAAGTCTGAGACCATGGTGCTCAACCGGAAAAAGGTGGTTTTCCATCTCCAGGTTAGAAGAAAGTCCTTACCTCAGGTGGAGGATTTGAAGTATCTCCGGGTTTTGTTCACGAGTGAGGGAAGGATGGAACATGAGATTGATAGGCGGATTGGTGCTGAGGCAGCAGTAATATGGTCGATGTACTGGTCCGTTGTGGTGTTGAAGTAGCTGAGCCGAAAGGCAATGCTCTTGATTTACCAGTCAATCTATGTTCCTACTATCACCTATCGTCATGAGCTTTGGGTCCTGACCAATAGGACAAGATCTCTGATACAAGTGGCTGAAATTAGTTTCCTTCGCAGCGTGGCAGGGCGCACTTTTATGGATAGGGTGAGGAGCTCTGACACCCGGGAGGAGCTCAGAGTAGGGCCGCTGCTCCTCCACATCGAGAGAAGTCAGCTAAGGTGACTTGGGCATCTGTTGCCTCCTGGACGCCTACCTAGGGAGGTGTTCCAGGCATGACCCACCGGGAGGAGGCCTCGGGGAAGACCCAGGACATGCTGGAGGGACTATGTCTCTCGGCTGGCCTGGGAACGCCTCGGGATACCCCGGAGGAGCTGGAGGAGCTCTCTTCTAAGACTGCTGCCCCCGCTACCCGGCCCCGGCGATAGAAAATGAATGGCTCAGGTTAGGTCCAGGTGTGCTTTATTAATTTTCATTATGGGCCAGATCTGTGCTAGTTTTTTGTGGCACAAATCTGGCAAACAGGAGCGGACCGCCCATGTGGCGTCATTCCATGTGGTATGTGGGTAAGTATGGGCCAGATCTGAGCTTAAGGAATTTCGCTATCTGAGTTTACCTATATATATTTTATTATGCAAAGAAAAAACACTTTTTCACAGAAGAGACATTATGAATGAAAGTCATGTTACAAGACTTAAATTACAGCATATTATGTAAGTTTATATCAGACTCACCAAGCAAGAGTCTTCCATGCAATAATCATTAGAGTTCACACATTTACATATCAAAATCTCTGGATGCCAAATGTAGAAAGAAAACGCTATACATTAATACAGTTACAGTAAGAAGACTCTAGTGTCAAAGAGTAACAAAAAATACAATTTTAGAGGAAACAAAAGTTTGGATAAAAGCATTTTTAGGAGAACTGGAAAAGTCAAGGCAAAACACTTGATATTAAGTCCCAAAGCAAATGACTTTATATTTCTACAGACTGAATACAGAAAGAGCATTTGGGGAAATAATATTATTAGATTGAGCAAGTTTGTGATTTAGTGGAGAGCAGTTATGAGTAGAGACGTCACCAACTTTATTATATAAGAGGAGTTTATGCCAAACTCAAACCATTCTGTCATTTAAATATATTATTCCAAAAACAGGTAAAGAAATCTGAGATCTATTAATAATTGAGTGAATGTCTCTGTTTTACATGTAATGAGAACATTTGTGCAGTCAAATATAAAATAATGTAAAAAACTTTATGGCCAGACTTGACTGAAGGTATTATACAATCAGGGATTGCACAGAAACAATGTTATATTCCTCTGAAGAGACTGAAGAAGGAGAATTAATCTTCTGAACAAACATGTTTACCTCTGCTGCCAAGAGACAAACAGGCAGCCAATCAGCTTTCGTTAAAACACCAAGAGGCAGCCAATCAGCGTTTCACTGAGCCACATACAGGCAGCCAATCAGCTTTCTCTGATCAGCGTGCAGGCAAACACCCCGCCTACTCACGGCGCTCAGTGTGAGGCGGAGAGTGCAGAGCTTTGCTGTTTGCTGTTGAATTGCTTTAACTCCACTTCTGTTTCGGGTGTTGTGCGTCTATTCAAAGTAAGTGTATTATATCTGACCTTTGTAGCGTTCGCAGATTTGCTGCAATTATCTTGCGGGTTGAACTGCTTTAACATATGTGCTCAATGCTAATATAGTCTCTTGTTTTTAGCTCGATGCTAGGCTGTAAACACTTCTGTAATGCGTTACTCACGGGTTATCTGGCCACCTTTCATTTGTGTCTCCATCTCATTCCTTCACTAAGTGCTTGTTTCAGAGGTGTGTTGTAAACAACTTCCCAACAAACACATCTGTTACAGCGTAGAAATGTAAGACTGGAGAGGCCTGTAGCAGCTGAGGAGATCTGGGTTTACTACATTTGATGCTGGGTTATTTACATATTGACTATTCTGCATATGAGAAGTAGACCTAAGAGTGTTTAAATACTGTTTAATATTGATTATTGATCTTTTTAGCTTAATATCTGCTTGTGTAAACTTTGAAGAGAAATAAATCCATAACAATTATCAATCTTTATTGCATAGTCTACAAAACATTCATACATGCAATGGATTTACAATAATGTTACAGAAAGGTATAAAAAGTTGAGTAACGCAGGTCACATAAGCAGCATGTAAAACACTTGCAGTAAACAATTCAAAAGATGCGCCTCTTTTATTTTTTTAATCCTCTAACTGATAGCATTAATCAGTTATGATTAATTGGTTATTTTGATGCTTCAGCACCACTTACGCACTGTTTCTGTGTGCGCTATGAAAGCTGTAATCTGTTAACATGAATGCTGAAACAGGCGTTAGACTTAATCTGTGTTGTTGTTATTTGTATGTTTTAATATGATGTTTAAGAAACAGTTATGATTGTGAATTACATATTTAACAGGTGTTTCCATGAATATAGCCAGTGCTGCTGATATGACATTAAAACATAAATAAATAAATAAATATATGCACACAGAAGTGTTAAAAAAAAAAAAAAACTAATGTATTGTTAGTAATGACAGATCTGCTCCTCCTCCTCCAGTGAAGCTCCTCCTCCTGCAGTGAAGCTCCTCCTCCTCCAGTTCAGCTGTAAACACTGTGATATTCCCATCAGGCTCCAGTGAAGAGTTTATTGAAGGACAGCGAGAACATGAGTGATCCAGAACCCTGCAGAATTAAACATGAAGACACTGAACAACAAATAGGTTGGTGTTTATTCCTGATTCTTCATTAATCAGCCTGAAGAACAATCATGAGGAAAAGCTTTGAACAGTTGATCTGATTTACTGTACAGAAACAAATGATTTTCTATAAAGACAGAGAGAATTAAACACACTTTCTGTTCACAAGGTCAACAATAGGGACTGAAGCTCAGTTGTCTTTTATTCCCATGTTCTGATCAAATGCTCAGTAAAAGGAGGTTTGTTAAACATTTAACCCTCTGGGCTCTGAGGAGAAGTGTCGGCACTCCCTGACGTCTCTGCTGTTTTCTGTTTCTTATAAATATAATTATATTATATAATATATATGGCTGCACGATTAATCAAATAAGATCACAATCTCGATTCGACCCTACACACAATCCTAATCCAGCAAATTATATTTTCAAGTTCGGTAGAGAAGCATAAAGGCCGTCTCACAAGTTTACAAGACATCACACGTGAGCTGTTTGTTTACCACAGAGAGGACGCCCGCGCGCCTGCATATGAAGTCTAGTTTAGTGAACAGGACCAGCATTGGCTGTGGTTAACCCTTTCAGGTGTGAGTTTTAAATCGTCCAGCTGACCCCAGTTCATCTCAAGTCCCACCAGCCCCAATAATCTATGGATATATTGGATTTTGCTTCTTTTTGCTCTCAATATTGTATTATATTGTGAAATTTCTGATACTCAAATCTGATAGAATGTGTATTTTTTTTCTTTTGAACAGCTTAATAATGATCATATTATTTGTTTCATGGCCATGTTTAGTCTCAGGATACTCGTGTCAATATACCTTTGTTTTCGTGGCACTGTTTAACATATGTCCAAAATCAATTCCTGGAGCGCTGCAGCTCTGCACAGTTTTGCTCCAGCCATGATCAAACACAGCTGATTCAGATAATCAACGTGTTCATGATCTTGCAACCTTTGTGTTGAGGTAGAGGTAGACATTAATAAAGTACAATTATTGCATAATTTAGTGAATAAAATAAACACTTCTTGTAAACTTCCGATCGCAGCTGTGTCCCATTAGCAACAACCGCAGGAGAGATCCGAGCTGCTGGATTTACGTCATGTTTATTCCAAATTTTCCTCTGAAATACACAAAGGTAAGCAACAGTTTATCTGGCAGAGGAATAGAGAAAATGTTCTAGTAACATAAACAGTGTGCATCTTATATGAGTAAAGCACATCGTCCAGTTATATTGAAAAATAATTATGATTGCCGTCTCTACACACATCTGCACACATTTTACGAATATCAAATGGTGTGTTTTGCTTGTAGTTTTGTGTATTTGAATGATTGAAACCTAAAACAAATGTTATGCGTTTGAAAGCATGGATAAACTGATTTATGACAGGCCCTGCGCTCCTCTTTCTGTGCCTCAGTGCATGCTGTCAGATTTGAGTTTGAGCAGCTGATGCAGTGCGATCTGGACACTATAGTCACACAGGTGTGATCATATGCTTCAGGGACCAGCCAAGGTTGATCACATCGGTGCAATCGCATACGTGAAAGGGTTAACAGGTAATAAAAAGGGCTGTACGATACTGGAAAAAACTAGCATTGCTATATTTTGTTTTGCTGCGATTTATGTATTGCAGCATGAATACATGTTCCACAGATGATTTGAATAGCTCTATTTAGAAATAATTCATTAGTTTAGATCAGGGGTCACCAAACTTGTTCCTGGAGTGAAAAAGTGACCAAAAGTTTGGTTATAGCACCCGGCCATGTATATTGACCCTGTGGAGCTCCAGACCAACAGTTCTGGTGGAAACAGGAGTGTTGAGGTGGAGCGAGTCGGCAGCTGTGGTTTTGTTTTTTAGATACAACCCGAGTTGAGGCTGTTTCATACTTCTGCAGTCAGTGGGGGGCAGAGATCAAGGGGAGACAGTTCTGGGGAAAAAGCTGTTCCTCGGTCTGCTGGTTTGTGTCCGGGGGAGCCTGAAGCGCCTGCCAATATGCAGGATAGTAAACAGTCTGTGAGCAGGGTGAGAGGAGTCCTAAAGAATACTGCATCTACAATGTTTCTTCTAGATGTACTCAATGGCTATAAGCGTGGTCCCTGTGAAGCGTTGGGCAGTTTTTACCACCCGCTGCAGTGCCTTAAGCTCAGCAACAGAGCAGCTTCTATACCAGACACAGTTGGTCAGGATGCACTCTATTCTGCAGCGATAAAAGTTCACCAAGATGGCTGATTCTTCTTAAGTTGCCTTAAAAAAAGAGGAGCTGGTGAGCCTTATTGACCAGGCTGGAGGTTTTAATGGTCCAGGACTGATCCTTTGAGATGTGGGTCCACAGGAACTTGAAGGATGAGACGGGCTCAACGGCCATCCTATTGATGTAGATTGGATCATGTGAACCTGTTCGTCCTTTCCTGAAGTCCACAAAGAGCTATTTGGTCTTGTTGGTGTTAAGGAGCAGATTATTGTCGGTGCACCAAGTGGCCAGATGCTGTATCCCCTCCCTGAAGGCCGTCTCATCATTATTGCTGATTAGACCAATCACTGTGGTGTCATCTGCAAATTTGATGATGGTGTTGGATCTGTTACGGGCCTAAAAAGGGAGTAGAGGAAGGGGCTCAGCACACAGCCCTGGGGTGCACCAGTGTTGAGTGTGACGGTGGTGGAGCAGATGTGGTCTGATCTAACATTCTGAGGTCTGTTAGTCAGAAAGTCGATAATCCAGTTGCAGAGAGACGTGTCGTAATCCAGGTCTCTAAGTTTAATAATTAACAATAACAACTGTTCCCAGCACGGTTAGACAACCATGCTGAACTGTGCACAATAAACTACACTACGTTTAACATGGGTAATCCAGATCTAAACAATACAATTTGAAAAGGGTTTTAAAACCATAGAGCAGTCTCTGCCAGAGAAGGGAATCACTGGCCCACCACATTCTTACCAACATATTTTCTATTTAAAGTTATTATTTAATTGAATTACACCATGAATAATTACATGTATATAATTACTAACCCATCATCTAAAATAGTAAAATAGCCCACTGTTTGCCTAGACCTTGATTAATGTGATTGACATCTTAGGCAATGAGACCGTTAATTCGCCTGACTGAGTTTATTGCATGCAGTGCTGGATTTGGTAGCACAAAAACCTCAATCTAATCCGGGTGTGAACTTTACCAACAGCACCCCTGAAAGACTTTTTCTGTTGCGCATTGAATAAAGCCGATTAAGATCGTCGATGTCCACAATCCACAACAGCATTGCTATATCCATGGAACACGAACTTGCCGACGAACCACGAGGAAATACTTTCACTATTCAATCAAAGCCCATATATCAGCTTGTTTTGTAATTTCACGCTGGTTAGACCACCTGAAGAACGGTTACGCTGTGTTGTGATGTCGTCCTTTACCGTATAAAGTCAAACTTTACTTAAGTTTTTGGACTTTTGTTTGAAAGCTTTACAGAGTGGCACTGTAACAGTACTGTGTTGTATGATTTAAATTATATTCTAAATATGCACCAAATGTTTACATTGCGTTACCAAGGCAACAACTGATGCATTTTGTGTAACGTTCTAAAGAGCTCAGGTGCAGCATCACAGTGGAACATTTAAATGTATCCGTGCTGTCTGGCCTAGTTTGGCATGGAATGCAACGGTTCTGCATAAAGAACCATTCAGCACGATAGTGGAAAACGGCTATATATGTAATTAGTTTTGCGTTAATGTTCATCAAATTTACAGTTTGTGTAGCCATGGTTTCCAGTGTCTTTCACTTCAGCTTTTGATGAGTTTCTACGACTTACTAAAAACTCAACTTTTTTTATTTCAGACCCAATTGAAGAGTATGAGGAGATTAAAGAGGAGGAACATCATGTCAAAATTGAGGAAAATCATTTACAGACTGATGATATTTTCAAAAGGAGAGACAAGAATAGTTTTACCTGCACTCAGTGTGGAAAGAGTTTTGAAAGTAAAAGCAGCCTCAAGATTCACATGAGGATCCACACTGGAGAGAAACCATTCACATGCACTGAGTGTGGAATGAGTTTCAGCCACACATCAAACCTTAATCAGCACATGAGGATCCACACTGGAGAGAAACCATACATGTGCACTCAGTGTGGGAAGAGTTTCAGCCAATCATCAGATGTTAATAAACACATGAGGATCCACACTGGAGAGAAACCGTTCACATGCACTCAGTGTGGGAAGAGTTTCAGCCACGCATCAACCCTTAACCAACACATGAAGATCCACACTGGAGAGAAACCATACATGTGCACACAGTGTGGCAAAGGTTTTAACCAATCATCAGACGTTATTAAACACATGAGGAGCCATACTGGCGAGAAACCATTCACATGCACTCAGTGTGGGAAGAGTTTCAGCCAATCATCAAACCTTAATAAACACATGTGGAGCCACACTGGGGAGAGACCATACACATGCACTCAGTGTGGGAAGAGTTTCAGCCAGTCATCAGACGTTACTAAACACATGTGGAGCCACACTGGAGAGAAACCATTCACTTGTACTCAGTGTGGGAAGAGTTTCAGCCACTCATCAAATCTCAATAAACACACGATGATCCACACTGGAGAGAAACCATTCACATGCACTCAGTGTGGGAAGAGTTTCAGGCGATCATCACACCTTAATAAACACATGAAGATCCACATATACGTGCTTTGAGTGTGAAAAGGCTTTCATTACAGCTGAAGAGTTGAAACTGCATCAGAGGATTCACATGGGAGAGAAACCTTACAAGTGTTAACAATGCAAAAAGAAATTAAGAGATTTGAAAACTGAGATCTGAAAACACATGAGAGGATTCACAATGTGGACAAACCATAGACATGATCAGTGTCAATTAGAGATGCTCATATTGACCGTATATCTGGCGGATACATCTGTACAGCTCTGCTGCTCCACTCTCCAGTGTGTTCATGTGGCTAGTGTTGTTGTTTTAGATGATGTTCTCTGTTTGACTCCCTGAATGAGAAACAAATCACTGGGTAGACACCGCACATCAATAAAGGTGGAGCTCCAGGACAGTTAGTTTGCAGTATACCAGGGCCTCAAGTTTAGAAAGCCTATTCATCCATCCTGTGTTGCTTCTTTTATTAATCAGGTTTCTTTACTTTCAGGTTGAAGATTATTTCTACTTTACTACATTTGCTTTTTGTGAGTAGAATACAAACTTGATGAATATTTTGTGATTTAGGCAGAGCGACAGGTATTAAGTTTTACAATATTAATACACTGTGATGATCCCAAGACTCCAGATTGGAGCATGTGGTAGATCCTGATTGGATGCCTGCATTACTCATCAAAGGGTATATAAGAGTTGTTGTGCTACCCCAGGACACTGTGGCTACTCAGGAGTCCTCATGTCAAGACCTGCCATCTCACTGACTCTTTAACCTCATGGTTTTGTTTTGCATTACTTGTATCATGTAGTTAAAGTGTTGTTGTGATTATACCCTAAGTTCTTTATCTTCATTATCCCTAGACATCTGTTGGTTGTTTTGTTTGATTGTTCTATGATTTATATTTCATAATAAATAATTTGCATTCAGGCTATTTTGTTGTTGATCTCTCTATGTTGCGACTCAAACAAGTGGGTCATAACACTTTGTAAAATGTGTCTGGTTGTATCTGAGATCTTGTCCTTTCCCTCATGAACTTAGGTGAGAGTAGGAACCTAGATGAGCAGTAAATTGAGAACATTGCCTTTTGTCAGCTGCTTCACCACAACAGACCAACACATCAACTGCATTACCGCTGCCGCTGCACTGATCCGTCTTTTAATCTCACACTCCATCCCTTCCTCCCTTGTGAACAAAACTGCAGATTCTTAAATCTCATTAGGGCTAAGAACTGTCCTCTTAACTGGAGATGGACCACCATGGTAGGTTTCTGACTTAGGGGTGCCGTCTCTTTCCCTGCCACGTCACACTCAGCAGCAAACCGTCCCACTGCATGCTGAAGCTCTATGATCGACCACAGAGACGGCAGTAGCCTGCACCAACAATTCTGTCAATAAAAATAAATATATTTTTGAGATCAGCCTCTAACGACTATATTTATGTATTGTTAAATAAATAGCATTTTTTCAAAGAGGAGACACTGGGTTACAGGTATGATACAAAACTTAAATCACAGCATATTATGTAAGTTTATCAGACTTATCAATCAAGAGTCTTCCATGCAATAATCATTAGAGTTCACATACAATGGATAAGGTTGTCCTCCTTAAAATAATCATACAAAAACAAGCATAAAGTCATACAATTCAGTGATGGAACACGTGCTGGATCACCTTCAGCTTTTCCATCAAATGTCTCTTCCTCTGAGTTATAGCCTTGAAGGTGTGACAGGACTGAATTTGATGTTTTTGATCAATTGGTGTGAATGATAACAACTCAAACTTGCTATATCTGAAGGTATTATACAATCAGGGATTGCACAAAAACAATGTTATATTCCTCTGAAGAGACTGAAAAAAAAAGAATTAATCATCTGAACACAAATGTTTCCCTCTGTTGTCGAGAGACCGATTGACAAACAGGCAGCCAATCAGCTTTCTTTGAGCGCTTACTTGCAGCCAATTAGCTTTTACTGAGCGCCTGCAGGCAGCGAATGGGCTTTCTCTGGTGAGCGTGCAGGCAAATCTCCCACCCACGGCGCTCAGTGTGAGGCGGAGAGTGCAGAGCTTTGCTGTTTGCTGTTGAATTGCTTTAACTCCACTTCTGTTTCGGGTGTTGTGCGTCTATTCAAAGTAAGTGTATTATATCTGACCTTTGTAGCGTTCGCAGATTTGCTGCAATTATCTTGCGGGTTGAACTGCTTTAACATATGTGCTCAATGCTAATATAGTCTCTTGTTTTTAGCTCGATGCTAGGCTGTAAACACTTCTGTAATGCGTTACTCACGGGTTATCTGGCCACCTTTCATTTGTGTCTCCATCTCATTCCTTCACTAAGTGCTTGTTTCAGAGGTGTGTTGTAAACAACTTCCCAACAAACACATCTGTTACAGCGTAGAAATGTAAGACTGGAGAGGCCTGTAGCAGCTGAGGAGATCTGGGTTTACTACATTTGATGCTGGGTTATTTACATATTGACTATTCTGCATATGAGAAGTAGACCTAAGAGTGTTTAAATACTGTTTAATATTGATTATTGATCTTTTTAACTTAATATCTGCTTGTGTAAACTTTAAAGAGAAATAAATCCATAACAGTTAATATTATATAACAATATTCAGGAATATCACTTTTATAGCAAAGAATCAGTCCCTTTCCTGGTCATTAAAGTGAAATATCTCAACATAAACAAAGGAGGCTGAGAAAAATGTTCATTTTTGATGGAAAGTTCAGATGGCCCTGAGAGATTCAAACTCTGTCATTTTTATTTTTTAAATTGAAACTTTAAACTTCATTGCAAACACTTTATTTAGCAGTGAAACAGAATGTGGGATTAGTATAATAGTATAAAACACTTAATAATGAATGTATTACAGTATTGAGAGATAACTGTAGGCAATCAGAGACATGATCACGCTGCACACATGAGATGTAGAATCGGCCACTCAACACTTACACACATATTTACTGAACAGGGAAGAGAAACCTATGTGTAACTTGTGTGAGAATATTTTGATGGTGAAACATATTTTAATAGAGTGTATATTTGTAAATGATATTAGAGAATGTTTTTATTCAGGAAATATTTGAAGGCAAATGTTTAAAAATGTGTTTTCTGGAGGAATTTTACAATATTGATCATTGATCAGACTGAAAGAGCTTATAAGACTTTATCAGTGTTGCTGTTATTTGTGTGTTTTTAACCAATTAATGATGTTTCAGAAACAGTTATGATCATCAATTATATATTGAATATTTAATACAAGTGTTGTCATGAATATAGCCAGTGCTGCTGATATAGCATTAAAATATAAATATAAGTGAACAGAATGTTAATTACAATAATTATCTCCTCCTCCAGTGAAGCTCCTCCTCCTCCAGTGAAGCTCCTCCTCCAGTTCAGCTGTAAACACTGTGATATTCCCATCAGGCTCCAGTGAAGAGTTTATTGAAGGACAGCGAGAACATGAGTGATCCAGAACCCTGCAGAATTAAACATGAAGACACTGAACAACAAATAGGTTGGTGTTTATGTCTGATCAGGGGCAGCGCGGGGGGGTTGTTGGGCTTCTGGGGCTTCATCCCCAAATGTTTTTTCCAAAGCCCTGAATCTTTTGGGTTTAAGTTTTGTCAAAGTGTAGTTTTTCAGCACATTATTCAGAAATATTTAAACAGGTTCATTATTGCTTTCCCACAGGATCAGTAAAGCAATATCAGCTGGGGTTTTGCTACCGCTTTTCTTTATTTATTTTTTTTCTATTAGAGGCAGCCCTATGGCAGTGAGTGCTTTCTCTCCTTTCAGAGAATTAGTTTACACACACACACACATTGTGCTTCTGCAAAGCCACGCCCCCTGTCAGTCACCTCAGATTGTGATTGACAGTTCTGTATGATCTGACCAGGTGCTGCACACAGGCTGTTCTGATTAGCTGTGAGTTTTGATTCATTCAGGTGTATTAATGTGAAAGTGGAGTCTGACAATAATAAATATACTCATCTGGAGTAAAACCACCTGTTTTTATACCCGTGCTGAATTTTCTTACCCCTTGGTTTTGAGTGTGGTCCTGTAAAATCTTCATTGGAAGGGCTATCTACCCCACTCCCCTTAGCCCTACGCCTTCAAGCTAAAGAGAATTGGGACCCCCCTATCCCTTCACGGGAATGCGCAGAATGAGGGGTAGGGGTAAAGGGTTGAATTGGAATTGGGCCTAATCGAACTTCTCTCATTTTAATCTTCTTTCTGGTGTGTTTTTTTATGTTGCGTACACCTGCCACTTGCCCCAGGTGAGTTTAAAGGAGCATCACATGCTGGAAACAGTCTTATTTATCCACAATTCTAATAGGGTGCCAATACTTTTGTCCAGCCCATTTTAAGAGTTTTGTTTGACCTTGTCTGAATTGCTTTCTTCTTCCCTTTTTGTGTTGTTGCAATACACACAGAGGGAATAAACCTGTGTATAGCAAAGCAGGTGTCAATGCAATACTTCTCTGTGAGAAATACTTCCTTTTCTGGGAAAATATCAGGGATGCCAACAAGTTTGGTCATGACTGTATAGAGCTTTTTCTAACTAATTCCACATAATGATTAGAGTTTTTAAATCACTGTTTACTGATTCACTTTAAACAACATATGGATTTACGTCAGATGAGACGCTTGTTTTGTTATAAAGACTATTTATCATGAATATTACTGGACAATTCTCACCTTGACCGACAAGTCCAGCCTCTAATGGGCCATCAGTGTGATATACCGGCAGGGGCGGACTGGCCATAGGGAGCACCGGGACATTTTCCGGTCAATCTGGACTGCCACCGTGACTCTGACCTGTCGCCTTAGGTCATCAAAACTAAACCTGATCTAATTTATTTTACATTAATGTGCACCAGAATTGCCCTGTGTGTTTCCAGTGTGTTTCACTTCAGCTTTTGTTGAGTTTCTATGACCTAATAAAAACTCAACTTTTTATTTCAGACCTAATAGAAGAGTATGAGGAGATTAAAGAGGAGGAACACCATGTTACAACTGAGGAAAAAACTCATTTGCAGACTGATGATATTTTGAAAATGAGAGAAAAGAATCGTTTCATCTGCACTCAGTGTGGAAAGAGTTTGGGAAGAAACAAAAGCCTTAAGATTCACATGAGGACCCACACTGGAGAGAGACCGTACACATGCACACAGTGTGGGAAGAGTTTCAGCCAGTCATCACACCTGAGTCTACACATGCAGATGCACAGCGGAGAGAAACCATTCAGATGCATTCAGTGTGGGAAGAGTTTCAGCCAATCATCACACCTTAATGAACACATGAAGATCCACACTGGAGAGAAACCATTCACATGCACTCAGTGTGGGAAGAATTTCAGGCAATCATCATCCCTTAATCTACACCGAAAGATCCACACTGGTGAGAAACCGTTCTCATGCACTCAGTGCGGGAAGAGTTTCAGCCGATCATCAACCCTTAATGAACACATGAGGATCCACACTGGAGAGAAACCATTCACATGCACTCGGTGTGGGAGGAGTTTCAGTGGATCAAGTCAACTTAATCAACACATGAAGATCCACACTGGTGTGAGAGAGTATATATGCTTTGAGTGTGAGAAGACTTTCATTACAGCTGGAGATATGAAGCGGCACCAGAGGATTCACACTGGAGAGAAACCGTACAAGTGTGCACACTGTGACAAGAGGTTTAATCAGTCGGTAAATCTGAAAGCACATGAAATGATTCACAGTGGAAAGAAACCATGCAAGTGTTCACACTGTGACAAGAAATTCAGAGACTTGCGAACCCTGAAAAAACATGAGAGGATTCACACTGGAGAGACACCACAGACATGATCAGTGTGTGTGAGGGATGCTCATAGTGACTGTTTAATTATAACCTACGTTTTTTTAAACTGATTAATGTTATCAGTTAAAACAGTGA